AAATATATAATTATAAATGAAAATGAAAAGATAAATATACATAAATATCAATAACATAAAATAAATATAAAAATACATAAATAAATAAAAGCCCATCCAGATGGAGGCCCTCGGCAGGGGAGACCAAACGGCCGAGGGTTAGGGGGAAAGGGAAAGAAACCGGCGGACGATGCGGGCGGTATCGAGGAGCACCGCCTTCTGCATTTGAGCCCGGAGCGGTCCGCCACGTAGTCCCAGTCGCCTCAGATGACCCGAGAGGCTGACTGGGATTAGCCCGTTTGCAGAGACGACTACAGGAATAATTTCGGTCGGCAGACCACTCCACATGTCGGTCACCTCGTGAGCCAGGTCCAGATATTTTGTTTGCTTGTCTGTTTCGGCTTTCACGAGGTTCTCGTCATACGGAATGGTAATGTCGACCAAAAATATCCTTGACTGTGCCCGGTCCATCAGCACAATATCAGGCTTATTCGCAAGAATAGTCCTGTCTGTGATGATGGCCCGGTCCCAGTAGAGCCTTGCGCGGTCATTTTCGAGCACGGCTTCCGGCAAGTACTTGTAATACGGCAATTTCCGGTCCACGAGACCGTATTTCACAGCGAGCTCCTGGTGAAGAATTCTGGCTACTAGGTTGTGCCTGTGCAAGTACTCAGTTAGAAAGCGCCGAACAACCGGAGATGACATGCCTAAGTGACTCCCCGGGATGGCGACAAGCTCGACAGACGTCGACAGTGCCATCCTTTAGGATGTATCTCCGATAGTTGTTGGTCTTAATAACCTGATCCTGTATTGCACAGATAAAACCCTCGGTTTCCCCGAAGAGGTCACCGAAACGTAGCCAGTTGAGGGAGGCGGCTGTATCTACGTAAGGCTCATGTAGAGCCCTGTAGTACCTCCCATGGAGCTCTCTCTCCTTCCATACGGTCTCCCGGTCGGAAATGTTCTGTTCTGCCGGGTCTTGCCATTGCTCGTTGGCTAAGGATAGAGGGGTAAGTCCTTTATCACTAGAAATGACGTCATTATAGAATGGATCATCCGATCTTGCCAGGAAGTAATGACGGAGGCTGCACACTTCGCGATTATGCATGGTGAGCGCGCTCAGGAAGCCACGCCCACCATGCTTTCGCGGCAAGTACAGCCTCATTACCGACGATCTCGGATGATGCATCCTATGGGACGTCATTGTAATACGGACTTTTCTATCCAGGGCGTTAAGTTCAGTCTGACTTCACCTGAGTATGCCAAAGGTATACATGAGGACAGGCATGACCCAACCGTTATATGCATGTGTCGTATTCACACCGGACAAAAGGCTGTTAAGCACTTTGGACAAGCGTGCATAAAACACGTCGCAAACTGACTGTTTCATAACAGCCTCATCGATACCGATATTCTGTGACATTCCCAGGTATCGGTATGTTTCAGCCTCGAAAAGGGCCCTTAAGTTGACGGGCATAGATAAGTCTATGCCCTCAGAGTTAGCAACCCTTCCCCTTTCAACATGGAGGACCGCACACTTATCCGTCCCCAGCTCCATTCCAATAGAATTGCTAAATTCACAAGTGATGTTTAGCAATTCCATAAGATGGGAGCGACTGGAGGCTAATAATTTGAGGTCATCCATATAGAAAAGGTGGTTCACTTTTGTACCTCCCTTCCGAAGCTGAAATCCCCTCCCGGAGCCCTCCAGTAAAGTACTGAGAGGGTTCAAAGAGAGGCAGAACCAGATTGGACTCAGACAGTCGCTCTGGAATATACCCCTTCTTATCCTTATGCGGCTTTCCGCAGCCGTCATCCGCTCGCCCAGATGACAGAGGATCGTACTCCACTTCCCCATACACTGCTCGAGGAATTCTCGCCCGTATTTGCTCGGGTCTGTGGCACCCTGATCTTTAGGAACCAAATGAGTGATCCCAGTAGTGAAGAGGCTTGGGAGCGACTTCTGGTTGAGAGCCTCTTGAAACTGTCGGGTGAGCACAGCGTGACACACCATGAACCCCTTCAGCCAGTAGTGATGCAGCCCGTCAAGCCCCGGACTTTTCCAGTCCGGGGCCCTACGGACCGCCTCAGCTACGTCATCCGGCGTTATGGTGACGGGATCCATGGGCGTAATACCCGCACACTGACTCACCACAACTTCCGTCCAAGGGCTCTCGTTGTGGTTTACGGGCTCTGACCACAGGCTGCGCCAGAATGCGACCGTGTCGGCCTGATTTGGTGCTGGGCCCGTTCCACTTACTATTGGTCGCTCCAATGATTTGTAGAGCCTCTTCTGATTACTCTGGAAAAGACGATTCTGGTTGAACCGTGTCGACCTCTCGGTATATCGCCGAATCCGCTTTCCCCAAGCAGCGATTCTTTGCTTCAGGTCGTCTATGCGCTCCGTCAGTTTTTGCGTTATATCCAGCTGGGACAAACTAACATTTGTCCCAGCTAACGCCATCCTGACGGTGCGCACAATCCTTGGCCTGGTATTGCCTGACCTGAAGCATATCAGTCTGCCGATGAGGGCCCTAGCCCTTGCGATACGTTCTTCAATTCTTATTCTCCATGCTGGGATAGCGCTACTATGGTCAGTAGCGCGTCCAGCCGTGGAAACCTTGGCGCCTATGATACGGCAGACTGCCAACGCGGCGCCAAAAAGAATTGAGTCCGTCTCGCAAAGGTCCCGGCTGGCTTCCAAATAGGTCACCAGCATTGGGTTCAGAGCCCTCACGACAGCCCGATTCCGCTTGCTTGGGGCTATGCGGGGAAGTCGCGGTCGATTTTCGAGAGGCATACTGCGCGTTTCCACAATCGCCTCCTCCAATGTACTCCTCATTTGCTCTAGTTCCAGTTCCTGGGCGACTGTTCCGTCATCGTTTGAATCAACCACAACTGGCCTATTCATGGCGGCATCCACATTTGCCGTTTGCTCAGCAAGTTATGGCGCCATATCGTCAGCCGCAGCATTTTCACCCGATGAAGGAACAGCCTCACGTCGTAGCCGTTTGAGTTCGGTGACATCAAATCTATTTGAGCGCAAGATATACCGAACTCGGTCTGCCAGGTTTTGCTCGGTGACGGTTACAGATGGCTCCAGCTCAGCAAAAAGTCGATGCATCCTTGCCCGATACGCAAAACCTCCAGTTTCTCCCCCTTTCACCCTAAAATACGCCCGCAATGCGTTGCTGTTCATCTGGGTTGGCCAACGCATGCGGCTTACTCCACCAGTGGCGGGTGCCGATTGCTGGGCCCGCGAAGACCTTGCCGACACCAAACGAGCTGGTGGGGATGATGGATGCGAGGGGCTGCTGGGTGGTCGTGCAGCACCTCGCGCTCGCTTCCATCAGCACAATATCAGGCTTATTCGCAAGAATAGTCCTGTCTGTGATGATGGCCCGGTCCCAGTAGAGCCTGGCGGGGTCATTTTCGAGCACGGCTTCCGGCAAGTACTTGTAATACGGCAATTTCCGGTCCACGAGACCGTATTTCAGAGCGAGCTCCTGGTGTAGAATTCTGGCTACTAGGTTGTGCCTGTGCAAGTACTCAGAGTTAGAAAGCGCCGAACAACCGGAGATGACATGCCTAAGTAACTCCCCGGGATGGCGACAAGCTCGACAGACGTCGACAGTGCCATCCTTTAGGATGTATCTCCGATAGTTGTTGGTCTTAATAACCTGATCCTGTATTGCACAGACAAAACCCTCGGTTTCCCCGAAGAGGTCACCGAAACGTAGCCAGTTGAGGGAGGCGGCTGTTTCTACGTGAGGCTCATGTAGAGCCCTGTAGTACCTCCCATGTAGCTCCTTCTCCTTCCATACGGTCTCCCGGACGGAAATGCTCTGTACTGCCGGTTCTTGCCATTGCTCGTTGGCTAAGGATAGAGGGGTAAGTCCTTTATCACTAGAAATGACGTCTTTATAGAATGGATCATCCGACCTCGCCAGGAAGTAATGACGGAGGCTGCACACTTCCCGATTATGCATGGTGAGCACGCTCAGGAAGCCACGCCCACCATGCTTTCGCGGCAAGTACAGCCTCATTACCGACGATCTCGGATGATGTATCCTATGGGACGTCATTGTAGTGCGGACTTTTCTATCCAGGGCGTTAAGTTCAGTCTGACTTCACCTGAATATGCCAAAGGTATACATGAGGACAGGCATGACCCAACCGTTATATGCATGTGTCTTATTCACACCGGACAAAAGGCTGTTAAGCACTTTGGTCAAGCGTGCATAAAACACGTCGCAAACTGACTGTTTCATACCAGCCTCATCGATACCGATGTTCTGTGACATACCCAGGTATCGGTATGTTTCAGCCTTAAAAAGTCTTAAAGAGTCCTTAAGTTGACGGGCATAGATAAGTATTTGCCCTCAGATTTAGCAACCCTTCCCCTTTCAACATGGAGGACCGCACACTTATCTATCCCCAGCTCCATTCCAATAGAATTGCTAAATTCACGAGTGATGTTTAGCAATTCCATAAGATGGGAGCGACTGGAGGCGAATAATTTAAGGTCATCCATATAGAAAAGGTGGTTCACTTTTGTATGCCCTTCCGAAGCTGAAATCCCCTCCCGGAGCCCTCCAGTAAAATACTGAGAGGGTTCAAAGAGAGGCAGAACCAGATTGGACTCAGACAGTCGCCCTGGAATATACCCCTTCTTATCCTTATGCGGCTTTCCGCAGCCGTCATCCGCTCGCCCAGATGACAGAGGATCGTACTCCACTGCCCCATACACTGCCCGAGGAAGTCTCGAACTGTACAGTTAATCTTGTACAGCTCGAGGACCCTCTTTAGCCATGTATGGGGCACCGAGTCAAATGCCTTTCTGTAATCTATCCAAGCGGCGAAGAAGTTCCGACGGTTGCGTTTCACCACTTTGCCAATGACCGCGTCAATGAGGAGTGGTTTCTTGGTTCCACGACCGCCGCCCCGACATCCATTTTGAGCGCGCGACATCACCTGATTTGAGTCCAGGTGACGAGCGATTCTCGCGCTCAAAATGGATGTTAGTGTCTTGTATATAGTCGGTAGACACGTGATGGGGCGGTATTACTCGGGTCTGTGGCACACTGATCTTTAGGAACCAAATGAGTGATCCCAGTAGTGAAGAGGCTTGGGAGCGACTTCTGGTTGAGAGCCTCTTGAAACTGTCGGGCGAGCACAGCGTGACACACCATGAACCCCTTCAGCCAGTAGTGATGCAGCCCGTCAAGCCCCGGACTTTTCCAGTTCGGGGCCCTACGGACCGCCTCAACTACGTCATCCGGCGTTATGATGACGGGGTCCATGGGCGTAATACCCGCACACTGACTCACCACAACTTCCGTCCAAGGGCCCTCGTTGTGGTTTACGGGCTCTGACCACAGGCTGTGCCAGAATGCGACCGTGTCGGCCTGATTTGGTGCTGGGCCCATTCCACTTACTATTGGTCGCTCCAATGATTTGTAGAGCCTCTTCTGATCACTCTGGAAGAGACGATTCTGGTTGAACCGTGTCGACCTCTCGGTATATTGCCGAATCCGCTTTCCCCAAGCAGCGATTCTTTACTTCAGGTCGTCTATGCGCTCCGTCAGTTTTTGCGTTATATCCGGCTGGGACAAACTAACATTTGTCCCAGCAAACGCCATCCTGACAGTGCGCACAATCCTTGGCCTGGTATTGCCTGACCTGAAGCATATCAGTCTGCCGATGAGGGCCCTAACCCTTGCGATACGTTCTTCAATTCTTATTCTCCAGGCTGGGATAGCACTACTTTATCCAGTAGCGCGTCCAGCCGTGGAAAGTTTGGCGCCTATAATATGGCAGACTGCCACTGCGGCGCCGAAAAGAATTGAGTCCGTCTCGCAAAGGTCCCGGCTGGCTTCCAAGTAGGTAACCAGCATTGGGTTCAGAGCCCTCACGACAGCCCGATTCCGCTTGCTTAGGGCTAAGCGGGGAAGTTGCGGTCGATTTTCGAGAGGCGTACTGCGCGTTTCCACAATCGCCTCCTCCAATGTACTCCTCATTTGCTCTAGTTCCAGTTCCTGGGCGACTGTTCCGTCATCGTTTGAATCAACCACAACTGGCGTATTCACTGCGGCATCCATTTGCCGTTTGCTCAGCAATTTGTGGCGCCGCATCCTCAGCCGCAGCATTTTCACCCGATGAAGGAACAGCCTCACGTCGTAGCCGTTCGAGTTCGGTGACATCAAATGTATTTAAGCGCAAGATATACCGAACTCGGTCTGCCAGTCCATGCATCCTCCCCCTTTCGCCCTAAAATACGCCCGCAATGCGTTGCTGTTCATCTGGGTTATCCAACGCATGCGGCCTACTCGACCAGTGGCGGGTGCCGATTGCTGGGCCCGCGAAGACCCTGCCGACACCAAACCAGCTGGTGGGGATGATGGATGCGAGGGGCTGCTGGGTGGTCGTGCAGCACCTCGCGCTCGGCTGGCGGTTCGCATGCTGTCGCGTCCAGCACCAGCTCCAGACGCGACCTGGCGACCTCCAGGCAGCGGCCTTTTGCGCGTTCTTCCGTATTCCATCATCCATAGTGGTGGGCATCATTTAGCGGGAGACGCCCAGACCCGGCGCCGTTTCATGGTGAGGCCATGTGCACAAGCGTGCCTTTGCACCTTCAATTTTTGCCGAGACACGGCACTAACACCTCTCGGCAAGGTGCCGACTGACTGCGCTGACGTACCGGTTTTGTCACATAACCGTTACGTCAGCGGGCGATGGGGTCGTCACTTCCCTACGCCTATTCACTTCCCTACGCCTATTTATTATTATTATTATTATTATTGTGGGGTATCTATATAGTTTTCTCATCTGGTTGGGTTCTATAAATATATAATTATAAATGAAAATGAAAAGATAAATATACATAAATATCAATAACATAAAATAAATATAAAAATACATAAATAAATAAAAGCCCAACCAGATGGAGGCCCTCGGCAGGGGAGACCAAACGGCCGAGGGTTAGGGGGAAAGGGAAAGAAACCGGCGGACGATGCGGGCGGTATCGAGGAGCACCGCCTTCTGCATTTGAGCCCGGAGCGGTCCGCCACGTAGTCCCAGTCGCCTCAGATGACCCGAGAGGCTGACTGGGATTAGCCCGTTTGCAGAGACGTCTACAGGAATAATTTCGGTCGGCAGACCACCCCACATGTCGGTCACCTCGTGAGCCAGGTCCAGATATTTTGTTTACTTGTCTGTTTCGGCTTTCACGAGGTTCTCGTCATACGGAATGGTAATATCGACCAAAAATATCCTTGACTGTGCCCGGTCCATCAGCACAATATCAGGCTTATTCGCAAGAATAGTCCTGTCTGTGATGATGTTCCGGTCCCAGTAAAGCCTGGCGCGATCATTTTCGAGCACGGCTTGCAAATACTTGTAATACGGCAATTTCCGATCCACGGGACCGTATTTCAGAGCGAGCTCCTGGTGAAGAATTCTGGCTACTAGGTTGTTCCTGTGCAAGTACTCAGATTTAGAAAGCGCCGATTAATATTATTATTTGGAGTATCTATATAGTTTTCTCATCTGGTTGGGTTCTATAAATATATAATTATAAATGAAAATGAAAAGATAAATATACATAAATATCAATAACATAAAATAAATATAAAAGTACATAAATAAATAAAAGCCCAACCAGATGGAGGCCCTCGGCAGGGGAGACCAAACGGCCGAGGGTTAGGGGGGAAAGGGAAATAAACCTATATTATTATTATTGTGGGGTATCTATATAGTTTTCTCATCTGGTTGGGTTCTATAAATATATAATTATAAATGAGAATGAAAAGATAAATATACATAAATATCAATAACATAAAATAAATATAAAAATACTTAAATAAATAAAAGCCCAACCAGATGGAGGCCCTCGGCAGGGGAGACCAAACGGCCGAGGGTTAGGGGGAAAGGGAAAGAAACCGGCGGACGATGCGGGCGGTATCGAGGAGCACCGCCTTCTGAATTTCAGCCCGGAGCGGTCCGTCACGTAGTCCCAGTCGCCTCAGATGACCCGAGAGGCTGACTGGGATTAGCCCGTTTGCAGAGACGACTACAGGAATAATTTCGGTCGGCAGACCACCCCACATGTCGGTCACCTCGTGAGCCAGGTCCAGATATTTTGTTTGCTTGTCTGTTTCGGCTTTCACGAGGTTCTCGTCATACGGAATGGTAATGTCGACCAAAAATATCCTTGACTGTGCCCGGTCCATCAGCACAATATCAGGCTTATTCGCAAGAATAGTCCTGTCTGTGATGATGGCCCGGTCCCAGTAGAGCCTGGCGCGGTCATTTTCGAGCACGGCTTCCGGCAAGTACTTGTAATACGGCAATTTCCGGTCCACGAGACCATATTTCAGAGCGAGCTCCTGGTGTAGAATTCTGGCTACTAGGTTGTGCCTGTGCAAGTACTCAGAGTTAGAAAGCGCCGAACAACCGGAGATAACATGCCTAAGTGATTCACCGGGATGGCGACAAGCTCGACAGACGTCGACGGTGCCATCCTTTAGGATGTATCTCCGATAGTTGTTGGTCTTAATAACCTGATCCTGTATTGCACAGACAAAACCCTCGGTTTCCCCGAAGAGGTCACCGAAACGTAGCCAGTTGAGGGAGGCGACTGTATCTACGAAGGGCTCATGAAGAGCCCTGTAGTACCTCCCGTGGAGCTCCTTCTCCTTCCATACGGTCTCCCGGTCGGAAATGCTAAGCACTGCTGGGTCCTGCCATTGCTCGTGGGCTAAGGATAGAGGGGTAAGCCCTTTATCACTAGAAATGACGTCATTATAGAATGGATCATCCGATCTCGCCAGGAAGTAATCACGGAGGCTGCACACTTCGCGATTATGCATGGTGAGCGCGCTCATAAAACCACGCCCACCATGCTTTCGCGGCAAGTACAGCCTCATTACCGACGATCTCGGATGATGCATCCTATGGGACGTCATGGTAGTGCGGACTTTTCTATCCAGGGCGTTAAGTTCGGTCTGAGTCCACCTGAGTATGCCAAAGGTATATATGAGGACAGGCATGACCCAACCGTTATATGCGTGTGTCTTATTCACACCGGACAAAAGGCTGTTAAGCACTTTGGTCAAGCGTGCATAAAACACGTCGCAAACTGACTGTTTCACACCAGCCTCATCGATACCGATGTTCTGTGACATACCCAGGTATCGGTATGTTTCAGCCTCGGAAAGGGTCTTTAAGTTGACGGGCATAGATAAATCTATGCCCTCAGAGTTAGCAACCCTTCCCCTTTCAACATGAAGGACCGCACACTTATCCGTCCCCAGCTCCATTCCAATGGAATTGCTAAATTCACAAGTGATGTTTAGCAATTCCATAAGATGGGAGCGACTGGAGGCGAATAACTTGAGGTCATCCATATAGAAAAGGTGGGTCACTTTTGTTCCTCCTTTCCGTAGCTGAAATCCTCTCCCGGAGCCCTCCAGTAAGGTACTGAGAGGGTTCAGAGAGAGGCAGAACCAGATTGGACTCAGACAATCGCCCTGGAAGATACCCCTTCTTATCCTTATGTGGTTCTCCGCAGCCATCATCCGCTCGCCCTGATAACAGAGGATCGTACTCCACTGCCCCATACACTGCTCGAGGAAGTCTCTAACTGTACAGTCAATCTTGTACAGCTCGAGGACCCTCTTTAGCCATGCATGGGGCACCGAGTCGAATGCTTTTCTGTAGTCTATCCAGGCGGCGGAGAAGTTCCGACGGTTGCGTTTTACCACTTTGCCAATGACCGCGTCAATGAGGAGTGGTTCCTTGGTTCCACGACCACCGCCCCGACATCCATTTTGAGCGCGTGACATCACCTTATTTAGCTCCAGGTGACGAGTGATTCTCGCGCTCAAAATGGATGTCAGTGTCTTATATATAGTGGGTAGACACGTGATGGGGCGGTATTTGCTCGGGTCTGTGGTATCCTGATCTTTAGGAACCAAGTGAGTGATCCCAGTAGTGAAGAGGCTCGGGAGCGACTTCTGATCGAGAGCCTCTTGATACTGTCGGGCGAGCACAGCGTGACACACTACGAACCCCTTCAGCCAGTAATGATGCAGTCCGTCGAGCCCCGGACTTTTCCAGTTCGGGGCCCTACGGACCGCCTCAGCCACGTCTTCAGGCGTTATGGTGACGGGGTCCATAGGCGTAACACTTGCACTCCGGCTCGCCACAACTTCCATCCAAGGGCCCTCGCTGTGGTTTACGGGCTCTGACCACAGGCCACGCCAAAATGCGACAGTGTCAGCCTGATCCGGTCCTGGGCCCGCTCCACATACCTCTGGTCGCTCCAATGATTTATAGAGCCTCTTCTGATCACTCTGGAAGAGACGATTTTGGTTGAACCGCCTTGACCTCTCGCTAAATCGTCGAATCCGCTTCCCCCAAGCAGCGATTTTTTGCTTCAGGTCATCTATGCGCTCCGTTAGTTTCTGCGTGATATCCGGCTGGGACAAACTAATATTTGTCCCAGCAAACGCCATTCTAACGGTGCGCACAACTCTCGGTCTAATATTACCCGACCTGAAGCTTGTCAGTCTGCCGATAAGGGCCCTTGCCTTTGCGATACGGTCCTCGATTCTTTTTCTCCAGGCTGGGATGGCACTACCTTGTTGAGTAGCACGTCCAGCCATGGGAAGTTTGGCGCCAATAATACGGCATACTGCCAGTGCGGCACCAAAAAGAATAGAGTCCGTCTCGCAAAAGGTCCCGGCTGGCTTCCAAATAGGTCACCAGCATTGGGTTAAGAGCCCGCACGACAGCCCGATTTCGCTTGCTAAGGGGTATGCGGGGAAGTCGCGGTCGATTTTCGAGAGGCATGCTGCGCGTTTCCAGCATCGACTCTTCCAATATGCTCCTCATTTTCTCTAGTTCGTGGGGGACTATTCCATCATCGTCTGAATCAACTACAAATGGAATATTGACGGCAGCGTCCACATTTGCAGTTTGCTGCGCAATTAGTGGCGCCGCATTCCCAGCCGTAGCATTTCCATCCGATGAGGGAACAGCCTCACGTCGTAGTCGTTCGAGTTCGGCGTCACCAAATATGTTGGAGCGCAGGATGTACCGAACTCGGTCTGCCAGGTTTTGCTCAGTGACGGATAGAGATGGCTCCAGCTCTGCAAAAAAAGCGATGCATCCGAGCCCGATATGCCAAACATCCGGTTTCTTCCCCTTTTTGCCCTAAAGTACGCCCGCAGTGCGTTTGCGTTCATTGTTTGTGACCAACGCATGCGACGTGCTCCACCAGCGGCGGGCGCCGCTTGCTGAGTCCGAGAAGACCCAGCCGACACCAAGCCTTCTGGTGGGGATGATGGATGCGGAGGGCTGCTAGGTGATCGTACAGCTCCTCGCGCTCGGCTGGCGGCCCGCATGCTGCCGCGTCCAGCGCCAGCTCCAGACGCGCCCCGGCGACCCCCAGGCAGCGGCCCTATGCGCGTTCCTCTTTGTACCATCATCCATTTATGGGCGCCAAATAACGGGAGACGCCCAAGCCCGGCACCGTTTCGTGGTTCGGTCTTATGCACAAACGGACCTTTGCACCCACAATTTTGCCTAGGCACGGCGCTCACACCTCTTGGCAGGGCGCTGACTGACTGCGCCGACGTAGTAGTTTTGTCACATAACTGTTACGTCAGCGGGCGATGGGGTCGTCACTTCCCTACGCCTTTATTATTATTATTATTATTATTATTATTATTATATCAAAATTTGTGTTTCAAAACTTTCCCTTGGATTAAGAAGGCTGTCGAATTGCGATATTTTAATTTTTATTCGATCGACTGCTGGTCTGCTAACGCCATAAATAAACGCAACATTTTCCAGTGTTTTATTAAATTTCAGCTGGGATATTTTTCCTGAATCACTTTCCAATTCGTTAAAAAAATATATTTTACTATGCTATTCGAGTTTGCACGTTGATATCACATTTACACTCTGTGAAATTTACGTTAGAGAATAAATTTTCCATTTTTTTATAGCAAAGGGAGCAAATAACCATGCGACTTACCTGATGGTAAGTGACTACCGCTACCCATGAACAACTGCAGCAACAAGGGAATCTCAGGTGTGTTGCCAGCTTTTTAGATTGGAGTAAGCTTTTTTCTTGAAGGTCCGTAAGTCGTATCGGTCAGGAAAAATCACCGGTGATAAACGATTCCATAGAGGGTTCGTACAAGGAACTAAACTCCTAGTCAAACGTACAGTGGTGAACCGCCTGGAACGGTGTGGATGGTATCGTGAATTTTGACGCGACATACTTTTGTGAAATTTTGCGGCTGTAATAAATCTGAACAATTTCTCAGATGGTGATAGATGCGATAGAAGATGCAAAGGAATGCAATATCTCTTCACAGCGATCGGAGAAGACTCGGTCATCGACGATTCGAGCCGCTCTGCACTGAATGCGATCAAGTGGAAGGAGTGGCACTAGGGAGCCCCGGCCCAGAAATGGGAACAGTATTCCATGTGAGGCCGAACCTGCACTTTGTAAAGTTTCAGGTGGTATGCCAGCATGAAATACTGTCCCGCTGTGTTGAGCCCGCCAAGTTTTTTAGAGGCCAATTTGACCTTCTCTTCTAAATGACCAGAACACTGCACATCATTCGATATGTCGACGTCTAGGATTCTAATACTGATACTGGCTTCCATTATGCACAACTGTCGAGATCAAAGTTACCTTGGTGCCCCACTGAACACAAACAAGTAACGTAAAATTAAATGAGGGATTGCTTTTTGTCCGCCGCGACAAAACGGACTCAGGGAACAAGTGACGCATAAGGATTGCACATTTCTATTGTTATTGACATTTATGGTCGGTCGAATCAGTTGATAACGCGGGCACTAGACCATAATACTCATTACATTAGGTGGTGGGACTCCTTTTCTGCCTGAGATTCCGTCTGAGTAGGCGGGTTCGGTAAGAGGGTGGACCTCTTATTTATTTTTGCTTTTAAATAGCCTGCACTGCTGTAATCCAGCTTAAAGATTATAGAGAGCTAGTATAATTACAACCTGAAGTATTCCATTAACTTAATCATTTCATAGTAAAACTCGTCGACACAAATTTTGGACATTTGTAACAGTTCTTAATACATACTACTATCACATATCACTGTCTACTCTTGTTAAAACTTTCTAATGAAATAAACTCAAAAAATATATAAATAAAAACTAAAACGATGGTTTATTTTGAAGAGGCAGTTAAAACACTACAATTTAAAAAGATAATTTTATTACTGGACTGCGATGATCCAAATAAATTATGTGATAATTTGATTACTTACATACAAGAATCTCTAAACTCTAACACAAAAACCATTAATGTTAATAGAAATAAGTCATAGATCACAGAAGGCATTGTGCGGTGCATTAATAACCGGAATAAGATGCAGAAAAACCTTCGTCTAGACCCAGAAAATGAAACACTTACAATAACCTACAGAAGATACCGAAATTATATAAACAATTGAATTAAAAAGCTAAAACGGATATACGAAAGAGAACAACTCGCTAAATCTAAAAATAGCGCTAAATCTTTACGGCAATGTATCAACAAAATAGCTAACCGAGTAAAAGCACTGAGAGAAACTTGTTAAACTTAAAACTATCACCAACTGAGTCAATTAACTTAGTCAACGACTTCTTTGCTAACGTCTGTGCTAATGAAATAACTATTGACCAGGCAACCTAACCTTGTTCTATGGACATCACAAATAGTAATCTCTGTAGACACAATCTATCTTCTACTCGTCAACTTACCTCTTATGTCTTGCTAGAAACCGATAATCAAGAAGTCCTTTCTATTATTATGAGCCTTAAGACAGATAGCGCCACTGGGTGGGATAAAATTCCTCCTAAGTTCTTGAAGATGATTCATTACCTGCTTGTTCCAATTATCTGCCACCTAGCCAATCTTGGTTTCCGACAAGGAATATTTCCTGATGCTGTAAAACGAGCAATAATAATTCCAGTATACAAGAGTAGTGACAGAGAGTGTGAACAATTATCGTTCTATATCAGTTTCAACGTCAATTTCGAAAGTCTTGGAAAAACTGATAAGTACTAGACTAAATGGTTATTTAAATAATTTCGACATCCTTTCTGCTTCACAATTTGGCTTTAGACGTGGAATATCAACCGAAGATGCAGTTACCACACTCACAAATCTAATAGTGAAAAATGTTGTTAATGGTCGTAAATGCCTTACAGTATTCTTGGACCTTAAAAAGCATTTGATATTGTCTCTGTCCCCATTCTTGTACATAGACTTGAGAGATATAGCTTTAGAGATGCCTTTCTAGCGTTACTAACAAGCTATCTCCAAAATAGAAAACAACAGGTCAAACTGGGTGATTATACAAGCATGTTAGCTGACACATCTTATGGTGTACCAAGGGAAATGTGCTCGATTCATCACTTTTCTTAATATACATCAACGATCTGTGTAACTTTAAAATCGCAAATGCCAATATTTTTTCTTACGCAGATGATACAGTTACTGTATTCTCTGGTGAAACATGGACTGAAGTTCAAAGGATCGCGGAAGAGGGACTAGAAATAATTGATCAGTGGTTAAACTGAAACCTTCTTACCTTTAACGTTAAAATATTTTTTTCTTATTTCTTAGACATGCATGTTTCCCTATGATGTTTTCCTTCACCGCCGAGCACGTGGTAAATCGGCACTTAAAATCGCAACTAACAATTTCGTTGGTGCTGATGGGGATCGAACCCGTGTTGGTCGCGTACTGTAAGACTTACAGCAAGCGCTGGGTACCTAAGCAACCATTGCTCTTAAAACCTAGCTTTTAAAATGAGTTTTTGTATGAAATGCTTATTACCTATAAACTTTTAAAAACGGTTTTAGGGGCTGGTAATGGTAAAGACGAAGACCGATGGGTGTTTATGTGCGCAATATCAATACAAGTTGCTAAATTGTTAGTTATTTCAAGCACTGATTTGTTGTGTGCATAAAATAATCTATTGGTGGACATGTGCCTCTTTAACTCTTTTATCAATTGTAAAACACATAGAATGGGTGCGTTTGGCAGAAAAAAGCGCTAGCAAGCGCTTGTAAGCAAAATGGCGATCGTAAGCGGTAAGCGCTGTCAAATCGTAAGTAGCTATTTTCCTCCAGGACACGATGTTAGTTTTAACGGGGGGAACCTAACCTAATTTAAATATATGTTTGTAAAGTATTCATATTAAAAACTTACCAATCATGAATTTTTAATAAAATGTATATGTTTATTCATGTCATTATATTACTTAAAACTAATATTGCACAAAACAACTTATAAACTCTACTTCAAAACAAACAAATTAAATAAGCAAAATGGCGGATTGTATCAGCGCTACTGAAGTAGCAATCGTGTCCTGGCCGAAAACTATTTCAGCGCTTATAAGCGCTTGCTAGCGCTTTTTTCTGCCAAACGCACCCAATTTGTTTTGCTAACGTTAAGGGTAAGAAGGTTTGAGTTTAATCACTGACCAATTATTTCTAGTCCCTCCTCCGCGATCCTTTGAACTTCAGCGAACTATCGTGGTACTATAAAGCTAAAGTTATAAACAAACTTACAGTTCACCCGATATAAGTGGCTACTGCAATTCATATACTTGCAGCCAATGCTCTGAAGCCTCCAAATGCGTTGTAACCTCTGGGGACTAAGATGAAATGTAGTCAGTAAATGTATTGGCTCCCTTTATCCTTCAGACCGCAGCAGTATAGGCTACTTGGCGACAGAAATAGGTAAAATGGTTGGAACTACCCAGACGGAGTCCTAGGCAGGAAAGTAATCCTACTATCTAGTATAGTATTTTAATATATATAGTCCTGAAATAATAAAATAAACGGGACCCTTTCCATTTTTTTTATCCATATTATTAGAGATTTGCTGTACCCGCGTATATCACGTGTCTGAGCCTGAGCGACATGACATCACACCTAGTTCAAGCATTTTAGGTAATAATGTGTGGAAAAATTAGCAAAATTAATGGAGTAATTTTATCTATCGGCATATATATACGTTATATAGCGAAGTAAAATATTATTCACTCCTTCTTCTCCTCGTGCCCCAGAAAGTGTTCCAAAACGCAGTTTTTTTTTTCAGTTTTAAATAAAGCCATACGCGATACATGAACAGCGTGTAGGTACGAAATAATCCTTGATTAATTGACTATCAACCCTTTTGGAGATACAAAAGCCAGTCATTGTCTCTTAAACTATGTGCCTAAATATCATGCTATAAAGAACAAAGTTTATCTTCATAAAATACTCCGAATTATGAAGTAATTTTTGTTCGTCAGGATTAATATGCCACGCTTAATAATAACGCTCATAAATCACTTTTTAATTTTCAATATTATATTTTTCTAAAAATACCTTATTGTGGTAATAAATTGTTGACTATCACGGACTTTTTTAGGTGGAGTTAAGATTTATATTTCGGTAGAGC